AGTTTCTTGTGGGCTTCTTCTAAGCCTTCAAGAATCTGTTGTTTCCACGAGGCTCGTTTGTTCCGAAGACGATTGATGGCAAGATCCAGATGGTCGAACAGATCGTTGTAGATATCATATACCCTATGGACGGTAGGGCCGGTGTTCTCCGAGAGGCAGGACGTGAAGATGTAAAACGGATATAGAAGCTCCAGAAGATATTCCAACTGTTTCCATTCTACCGGTGTAGGCCGCAGGTAGTCAAGCTTCTGACTATCCCAGTGCTGGATAAAGCTCTCGATTGGTTGGCGGAGCTTCAGTGCGCGTCGAATCATCAGGTAGGAAGAGTTCCAGCGGGTTTTGCAGTCGAGAAGAAAGATAGTATACAGATCCAGATTCCAGACGCTGAGTAAGTTGAAATCTTTCACGACGTTGAGGGCTAGCGTTCACGAATTTAGTGATTTTTCGAATCTAGGGACATAATAGATATTAGTAAATGCTGGACACTTGTTTGAGCTATCTAGGAGGAGGTTGAGGAAGGCTTCCTCAGCATCCCCCTAGATAGCTAGATCTAAGCAACCTTTTCGGTCATAACCGAAAGGAAGCTGAGGAAGCCTTCCTCAGCATCCTCCTAGGTAGCTAGATCTAAGCAACCTTCTCGGTTATGACCGAAAGGAAGCTGAGGAAGCCTTCCTCAGCATCCTCCTAGGTAGCTAGATCTGAGCAACCTTCTCGGTTATGACCGAAATCTCGGCCAGCTGGCGTACATACCTTTTCAATGGCTCGTGAAATACTACCAGACGCTTTGAGCGTTTCATCGCTGTTCTCCCATATGTAGGAGACAGTGTCATTCTCCGCTGCGATCCGCAATTTATTCATAAAGGAGGTAACACAGAGTTGGATAACATGAGCAAGACATGGGATGTGATGCTGATTCCGAAGGATTTTGGAAAGCTCCGGGTCGGCGATAGTATCCTGAATCTGGATATTCGTATCAAGTTCATCGCGAAGTTGCTCTGTAAGGGAGGAGAACATAGTACTGTTGTTGCTCGCGTTGTCGGTTGTCACCCCTAGTAGACGATGGCATAGATTATGCTTATGAAGAACCGACAGAACAATGGCAGCAAGGGTTTCACCTGTATGCGAACCGGATACCGGTCGGAAGCCCAGAATAATCTCATGATAATCTAGATCGTCCGTCAAGAAATAGCCAGTAAGTGCAAGAAATGCTTTCTGATCCGGGCTTGTCCAACAGTCAAGTGCAATTGACATTCTGCCGGTCGCCGGGAACCGTGAGAGTAGCTGTGTGTGGATTTCATCCGATAACTCGATTAATCGTTCCTGGATTTGCTTTCGATTCGGAATGTGCGGTCTGCGAGATGATCCGGCAGCGGCGAGATTGATCATTCGTTTAAATTGGACATGCTCGACAGTTCGAAAAGGTAGACGGCAGGCAACGATAAATCGCAGGACTTGGTCAAGGAATTCTTGTTCGGTGTAGATGGTTGTCGGGCCCTAAGAAATCGAAGCTCTTAGTATAAGATAAATAGAAGAAGGACAGACACCCTACCGGTTTTTCACTTAGCATCTGAGCTACTGTTCGTTTGGAAGGCACCGAAGACGACTTCTTAGGGCAGCCTTTTCGGACATGATAGGCCATTGAACTAGTCCCAGTGTGCTCTGTTGACGGATGTTGGAGCAGATGAGAACATGAGACACAAAAGACATAGGGGGTCCCATCCGGGAATTGGGCGCCTTCGTGGTATTTGTCCCATACAGATGAGTGTCTTTTAGGATTGAATCGAACTAATGGCTTTTTGGCTTCTCTCCGTTTCTCGGCCCAGGTAGTAGTATTCCACCATTCTTCAAAGATATGAATCTTTTCTTGCTCGGTCGGATACTGAATAATTTTGCGGCCTTTGGAGAGACGCAGAGAATCAAGCTCAGGGGGTGGAGAGAAAATAGAACAGGTATTAACCTCTGTCTGATTATCGCCATCAGTAAAGACTTGGGAGATAGAGGAGGATGGTGCAATAGTATCTTGTGAACATAGATCGAGGGGGTAGGATTGGTGTGCCATAATGAATAGCAAGGCTTCATTAATGGCATGGACACTGGAAGATAGAAAAGAGAAATTTTTAGAAGACATGATGTTGGTGGGTTGACAAAGAGAACGCGTCGTGTTACTACCAAAATATGATAGATCTAATAAAGGTTAGTGGTGGTTGGGATAGAACCCGTGATAATCTGGCTACCATCAGTGTCTATTACTATAAGAACACTAGAAATAAGGAATATTTTATAAGAAATATAGCATTTCTGTTGATAATAAAGATGTAGATAAGGATACTATTGCTCTAAATGATTAATATAATGGCTACAATAGAGATAATCTCCAAAATCTACTATTAATGCTGGTAATGGGAAACAAGGTATGTATTAATATATATTTCCATGCCGTATCTCTGGGTAACACCAACTTTTATAGAAAAATGAGAATTCTGCCAGCCACACTAGAGTCTAGGTATTTTTATAAAGATAATTTGAATAAGAGATATAGTTATTTATTTTTAATATTTTTTTAAAAATTAAATAACGCTTCTATTATAGATTTTTAGAAGGTTGGTTAGAAACGGTGAGGTTAATGCGGTTAACCTGACCGGAACCTTAACCGGACTAGGCCTAATTAGGCAAGGCATATTGCTTTTAGCGCCAAGAACGGTTAATCAGGTTAACCTAACCTCTTTTTTTTATACCGCGGTCAGGTAAAAATAAGGTACTTAACCTCACCGTTAACCTGCGGTCAGGTTATGCTGGAGGTCCTTAACCTCCCCTCACCTGGCCATTGCCCACTCTAGTCTTTAGAAAAGTAGTTTTTTTTAGTTTTTAGTTAGGAGAAGCTTTAGCATATATTATTTTAAAGAATTAATTAGTAGATTAGCTAATAAAAAAGCGCTAGTAGCTAATAATATACTCTATTAGTTAGGTGTAAAGCCTAGCTTATATTTAAATAATAGTTTTTTAACTTTATTTTCTTTATACTCTATTATAATTAATATAGTTCTAATTTTAATATTTATTTATTATTTGTCGGTACTAATAGATATATTTATAATATAGGTAGCTATAACTATAGTAGACTAAAAGATTTAAAATTAAAGAGCTACTTAAAGAAAAGAAATAAATAATTTTTTATTTTAAATTAATTTAAAGCTGCTAAAATATTGCAGTTAAAGTAGCCTATTAAAGGGCCGAAATAATAGTATTAGAATAAAAGCTATAGCGCGTTCGGAGATAAATAATAAAAATAGTAGAAAAAACTATATACTAGCAGAAAAATATAGTATAAATCTAGATTTTATAGATTAAGTTGTAGAGAAAGAGCTCTATTATTAATTCTAGACTCTAAAAGAAAAATACCTAGAGAGTTAAAAATAAAAAAAAATAGGTTTCTATAAGAAGCTATTTTCTTTCTAATATTTATTATATTTTTTAAAAATATATTAATAGTGCGTTAGATACACGTAGTAAAAAATAAATTTATATCTATTATAGCTAATCTCTAAAAATAAAATATAGATATAATTTTACTAGATTCTTTCTAAATAAAATAGAATAGTAGAGCTATTTATTTAGAGTATATATATAAAGCAATAGAAATACAGTAAAATATTAAATTTTAACTAATTAGTAGGCGAGAAAATAAATCGAAGGTTAGGTAAACTTAGGCTTAGGGACTAGAAGCAGGTAGTTATGCCCTAATAGCTAATTAGTCGGCCTAGTTTTAGATAGATCTTTTAGATATATTTAGAAAGGGCTTCTATAGCTTAGATAATATAGCTATACTATAGGTACTAATATCTAGTATATATCAGTAAGTTTAAAATTAGCAGATTTTTAGTATTAGAATAGATACAGGGCTTTTAGATTAGATCTAGCTAGGGCTATTTAGATATTTATTAGTAGATTTTTTATTAAAGGGCTCTAGTAATTGCAGTAGAATAGATAAAATAATAAATATAAAGATAAGCTTATAGATTTTTTAGAGAAATTACGAACTAGCAGAGCTTACAGATCTAGATTTAAGAGAGTTTATAATAAGTAAAAAAATTTATTAGGGAAGACAGATAATAGTAGGCCTAAGAATAATACTGTATATTAACCTAGATTAATAGATAGATATATAAATATATCTATTATTTATAGAATAATAGAAGGCTAGAATAAACAAGAATAACGGTATAAAAGAGAAATAGAAAAAAGAACTATTTTTAATATAAGACTATTAAAGTAAGTTTTTTTTTTTTTTCTTTTTATTGATTGTAAATGTGTTAGCGACGCGGAAACGTATAATAGATTTATTAATATATTTAAATATATTATATGGAGAGGTTATTTCTAAGGAAAGCTTCCTCGAAAGAACTATAGTATATAGTATATTATAGTATATATTATTTAATATAGCAGGTATTTGGGACACGTACTGCCGGGCGCGGGAACACGCGCAAACATTACAATCTAGCCAATCAGCAAGCGATTAAATAGAAGACGGGCCCGGTCGATTATGGCCTAGGGAGTAGGGTAGACCAGACCTTCAAGGACGGCTGGTACGAGGCCCGCGATAAAGCATATTACGGGCTCGCAGCGAGACCGCCAGGGTGGTCAACGGCTCCCCGTAGTCTGCCTCGCTGCAATGTGTACGTATACCAAAGCCGGCTCACCTTTACCTTAACACACGCTTACCTTGATACTGCCAAATAGGGAGGAATTTCCTTTCGCGTCACTGAAAGAGGCTGGCAACAACAATTTCCAGGTTCTTCGCTTTGTGAGCGAGAAAGTTAACAGTGCGCACAGTAAGACTTTTCAGGGAATCTTGCACTCTAACAGAGAGCCTGCTACTGACTGTAACTATTTATCGTCTACCAGGCGCGGACTGGGACAGTTGGTTAAAGGCAGTTTTCCAGCCCTGCGAAAGACTACGAAAAGACCGCAAGATTGAGCCCAATAAACCCCCAATCACGATGACATGGTCACCATTCGAGGAGGGCGATAATCGTGGCGAGGCCAATGGGAAGGCCCCTCATTTCATCGAGGCTTACGGGGTATGTCCAATGCGAGACCAGGAAGAGTACGAATGATGAAGGACTGACCGTTCTTTCAGTTCAACTCGCAAGGTGACACTGCATGCTTTCGTAAGTGATACGCTTCTGTCTCCTTCAGTACAAAAGGCTGACTTACAACCTGTCTCTACCAGCCACATACACTTATCCGGCATGGAATGGGGACACTGTGACCAAAACCTTAACCGACTATGGCTTCCGAGCACATCCTGAAGACCCGTAAGCTCACCTTTTCTTGCACTCTCGTTTTCTGTCTTACCCTCCCCCACCTGAACTTGATACATATACCCTATACGATCTTGCCCTGTGGGCTAACCTATTCAACCTGTCCCTGACACAGCATGTTTGTCTGGCCCTACGAGTACCCCTTCAATTTCTATAAGCGGGTTCCCCCAACCGCTGACATACCGTCGGAGCCGGAGGTGGTCAACTGGCTAAGAGTCAAACGAGATGTTGCTCTGGGTGTGCTGAACCAGGATCTGCCAATTTCCGCCATTGAGGATGCCGAAGGAGCCGAGTTGTTGTCAAAAGCTGCCGAAGCTTTCTTGGATCACCATTCTGAGGCGGAACCAGCGGCAACACACGCAGCGGAGTTTTCTATACCCACGGGGACTGATGCAGCGGTAGGATCTAGTTGGCAGCCTTGGAGCGAACAGCACATGCCTGTTGAGACAGGAGTGCCCGGGGCCGAGGAGCAAGATGACAGCCGTATGATGCGAAGAAGGCGGCAGCATTTGCAGGAGCACCAGCAGAGACATGCCCATGGACATTGATTTCCCCTTTCCCAAGATACGCTTGAGAGCTAGAGAGCAGGATTCAGGAAATATTTCTGGAGGCCACCTGCTCTATCTCATTGAGAGAGACGGCACTTATTTATGAGCTTAGCAACCCGTTGTGATGACTGATCACTAATCGAGTGTTGAGAGCAAATACCTTCTTCTAAGATTGTAAAATTACTGTTGATAGCTACAAACTGATCTAACCTACTACTATCTGCGCACTAACATCGGGGAGAGCATTTGAATAGCTAAGAATCAGGTCATTTTCTGGGTTCGGTGGACATCGAATCTAGTACCTATTGAGCGTGAGATCATAGGCAGGTGCTACCACTAAGGTTCCTAGGAAAACTACGAGGATGGATTGATTGTTGTCTATTCCGAAGCGAGGGCACCGTAATGACTAGCCCTAAGCCGGCGATGAGCTTCTACCTCCACGTGGTGCCCGCTGGGAACTCTCAATGAAGCAGTAAGGAAGTGCGGGTAACCAGACGAAAGAAGATAGGTGACAGGAGACAAGAAGAAGGGCTACATCACCGTAAGCCGACACAGGTATAGAGCGAAGATTGGTCAATCCAGGTAGCTAGTCTGCCTCGGATGATGACAGAAATGAGATACACAGGCACACACATGTTGACTAGCAGGAGTCCTGGCCACTGGAATTTCCACTAAGCCACGTGACCCTTTAAGACTTGCCAACTTCACCGTTTTTCCGACCAGGAATTCCATCGCACCTACCTACCCAGCTACCTACCGCCCATATCAAAGCAGCTAAACTACTCATCTGCTCTATCTCAATGACTTCTTCCGAGCATAACTTGATGTCATCAACCCCAGCTCGCCCTGATGGATGGCCCCGCATAACCGAATCCAGTCCTGTCCGTGACCTCGGCCCCGCAAATATGGATTATGAACGCTGTGCAGCTCTCCACAACGATCTTCTGACCAGGGCCGTCGAAGGTGGTGGAGGGAAGATGCCTCCCAAGCCTCATACCTGGTGGGAGGCCATGGCACCTTCCGAGGAGATTACCAAGACTATTCACCCATCCTTGATTGAGTTCCTGAAGTGCGCTTGGAGTGAGGACATGCTACCTTTCCACACTGTGCTTTTCCTCTATGTTGGAGCGCTGAAGTCTCTAGATGGGTTGCGGGATCGGGTTTATTTGTATGAGGATGAGGATGAGGAGGGACGGTTTCTTAAACTGTACAACAGTAGTCACTTCCGACTTGGAGATGATGAGGGTATTCTGTAAGATTCTTCTTCTCGCTGATGAAGCGGTCTACTGACTTAGAGCAAGAGCGCTGACCTATTAATTAGCTTTGACCAGAAGACCCTGAAAGCAAGCTTTATTGAAGATTATAATGATAGCCAAGAGATTACCAGCAATGAATGGGGCTGGATGCCTCTGGAAGTTATTCTGGATTCATATCTCCAAATGATCGACGAAGGAAAGGTACAGACAGTTTCTAAAGAACAGGGAGAACTACTGTACAGAACCCCCGGTTGCGGTTGTTCAGTAGTGGACCAGTGGGTAATTTACCACTACACGAAGACAGACCTAGAAAGGGCAATTACTGCTTTCAAGCGTCTTGTGGAAGCGATTGAATCTCGACTCCCTTACAGACATGAGTCAACTGCTATTCTCAACTTGCCGTGGCATGATCCATCAACACTTTCGAACAACGCCTTACTGCCCACTGACTCATTTGCCTATAAGTTCCTTAAGGCCATCTCCGACTGCAAATTCCGATTTCAGTACATCGCGCCGGGAGTCCGGTTCCCTACCGTCCCTGAATTTCAAGATCAGCCCATCACAGACTTTGTTACGTCACGGTATGGGCAGCATGGACAGTACCTTGGAGACTGTCCTCTACGGATCTTCCAGATTGAGAACCCAGAGCATCATAGGCAGCCAGGGCCGTATAACAAGGCTTTCGGCATTGACGACATCGCCGCCGGATTCTACATCCATCCTGTTATGCAGACATGGCCTCGGTTCTGGACAAATGGATGTCAACTTGTCTTACCCTTTGGCATTGGGCGTTCTGGATGGGCACGAAAGTCCAATGGAAGCCATTTGGGGTAGGTTCACTTGACCGTTTGGACGGAAACCCAACGCCTAGCAATGAACACGAGGGGTTATATCAGGCTGGATTCACAAATGGAATCACAAACGATCATTTAGTGCAGATAGATAAGGTACTAAATAACTGGGCTGATCGTGTTGAGAGCGGCGATTGGGAGGTCAATGAGGATGGTGTTACTGGGGGAATTAACAAGTTTCGGGAGGCGGATACAGAGGCGCATTGGCAAAAGTATTGGATTCCACCATCATGGTGAGGGTTGGAACTGGAGATATAGTGTATATGAATATTGCGCATTTGTGCATGACAAAAAATCTGGTGGAATCAAGGCATGTGATATTGCTTGGTTACTCGTTAGGCTTCATTATATCTTTGGGTGCCACCTCTCCAACAGAGGGTTCTTTATCTCTGAGTAACTTAATTGTTTAAGCCATTTCAACCGTCTAGGGGTTATCAACCCAGAGCCTCTTCAGATAAGCTCCTGTGGTGTTATCAATTCTGTCCTTCCTTGTCAATGCGTGAAGCTATCCCGGAGTGCTAAGTATCTTACTATCTACCTCACAGTCTATCTTACTATGCAGCTTACCATCCTACCTACAACTCGAGATCATCGAAGGAGATGAGACTGAATACCCTTCCTGCATATTGAATGGAGGTAAGTAGCAGACCATCCGGCTTGAGCATAGTAAGAGGCGGCCCCTTCCAGGGATAGGCTACGCACTGAAATTGACGAGGAAAGGATAATTGTGCTGAGGATCAGACAGCCGCTATTGATACTCGTCTTCCGGATGTGAAGGATGCGTACTTGGTGTTCCAGAGGGTAATTTGATTAATTTCCAAACACTGCAACGGACTAAACCATCGACACAACCCTCATTGAACTGGTGAAGCCTTGTCATATCCACATCAAGCCCTGCTGTATGCAGTATCGGTAGCCATCATAAATCTAGCGATGTCCCAATAATCGGCTTGGGCTGATAGAGCTCATCGATATTCTTAATCTCTGTATCTGTGGTTAAACTTAATTGCCTAAACTACCTCTACTTGTTCAGCTGCAAAGGAGCTATTTAGTATAGGAATACAAGGGCACGGCTCGGTGGTAGGCGCGGTTCGGTGGTTGAAAACGTTAATAACAAGCATCACGTAAATCCGCATTACGTTCCTTAGCTTTTTGCTTGGCAGCTTTCTTCGACCAACCTTCCCGCTGCAGCGCACGACGAATGCTCCATATCGTTATAAGCACCTCAAACTCATCCCATATGAATACCACCATCTCATCAAGGTATAGATGGGGCTTTTCAAGTAAATGATCACAAAGAACTTAGACCATAAGAGGAGTACGACTCCGCGGTCGTCCGCCTTTATCTGGCGGTGCTGTCACGCTGCTAAACGATCGAATATTAGAGCGATGTCTTTTAATCGTTCGTTTATCACAATTCGCTGCCACGGCCATTTGAGATGCAGTAAGCTCACTGCTTATTATTATGTCAATTGTCATCTCTCTAGTGGACTGGGCAAGTCGTGGCGCCATGCTGGTGATTGAGGGGTGATTGACATGATCTACCGGGAGGATCATTGGAAGCGGGGTTCGCGAGGTTTTCATCTATCTTCGGTGAATTGGGCGTAAAGATGAGACGTGTAATATTACTATGATCTCAATCATGTGATTACGATACCACCCGATACATTTCCTAACAATAGATTTCGTAAGTCTTTAGACAAAAGAGGTTAAGCGCAATATTAGCACAGGGTTGGAGAGACAAGAACATAATCTTGGGGGGGTGACACTAGTTTCGCAAATAACTGTACAAGGGGTGGGACGCCCATCGTAGGTCCTCTCCCTGGCATCGGAGAGAGCACCGCACCGGCAGCTACATAATGCACACCCATGCATTATCCTGATGGTTCGTCGCGCATTCTCATTGGCTTGTTCGGTTTTTGGGGCCTTTGCACCTTGGTCTTTGTCTCTGTCCGCGCAACGGTTTCTGCCGACAATTTCTGCCCCACGGGCATGATCAATTTGCTTATACACTCGAGTTTAAAACTGGCTCCCTGGCCGTATGCTCCTTTTCCTTCCCTTTGCTGTGTGCCAAGGACGCGCTATTCCTGGTAAGAAAAGGCTCATACCGGAATCACCACCCATTGAATGATACATACGGTACAGCACCGTATAAAAACGATCGCGTGTATTAATGCTCTCACAGTGCACTAAGTCATCGCCAATGGCTGTGGCGCGCCGGTGCGTTCGAACACGATCGAAGGGATTAGAATCTGCCAGACTTGTGGAAGTCAAAATACGAAGGCTTTACTACCTTTGGCTCAAACCCTAATAGATATAGTATTAGACTGATAATGTGCTCGTAAACAGATTCAATTCGAAAGTGCACAAAGTCTAATTATCAGAATACGACCATTCCCATACCCAAAGGCCAGTGTGTTATGATTAAATCCATGACAACTAGGTCCACGAAGTTCAGGAGGAAGCCATATTACCCGGTCATTTCCCAGACATACCCAAGAACTCTCGAATGAGATTTGTGAGCTTTGTTTGTGCTCCATATGGGCAATAGCTGATGAATTTGGAAGTGATTTAGGATGGTGCTTCAAGCTCCGCAGCTCTGAGCCAGTCTGGGTATCCCAGATCTTGATAGTCTTATCGTGAGATCCTGACACGATCCTCTGGCCGTCTTTTGAGAAACCTACTGATAACACCCAGTTAGCATGACCCAAGAGGGATTGTAACTCTGAGCCGGTCTATGCATCCCATAGCTTAATAGTCTGATCGCGAGATCCTGACACGATCCTCTGGCCGTCCGGTGAGAAGGCTACTGACCAGACTGAATTAGAATAGCTACGAAGGGTCCGCAGCTCTGCCCCAGTCTCAGTATCCCATAGCTTAATAGTTTGATCTCAAGATTCTGATACAATCCTATAGCCATCCGGTAAGAATGCCACTGACCAAACTAAATTAGAATAGCCCTACACTCTATGGCCAAAGCGATCGTGCCCTCGCTCGCTTTTCTCGCCCTCTGATTCGCTAGATTTTCATATTCCTGCGTGCTCCCGTCGAGTACAGTACGTGTCCTAAACACCTGCTTTATTTAATTATATATACTATAATATACTATATACTATAGTTCTTTTAAGAAAGCTTTTTTTAAGGATAATCTCTCCGCGTAATACCTATATTTAAAATATATTAATAAATTTATTATGCGTTTCCGCGTTGCTAACGCGTTTATAATTAATCTCTAATAATCTTATATAAAAGATAGTTCTCTCTTCTATCTATATCTCTCTTGTACTATTATTCTTATTTATTTTAGCCTTCTATTATTTTATAAACAGTAGATATATTTATATATCTATCTATTAATCTAGGCTAATACGTAGTGTTATTCTTAGATCTACTATTATTTATCTTTTCTAATAGATCTCTTTATCTATTATAAACTCTCTTAAATCTAGATTTATAAGCCCTACTAATTTGTAGTTCTTTTAAAGAATCTACCGGCTTATCTCTATATTTATTATTAGAGTGGGCAATAGCTAGGTAAGGGGAGGTTAAGAATCTCCAGTATAATCTAACCGTAGGTTAACAGTAAGATTAAATATCTTATTTTTATCTAACCGCGGTATAAAAAAAAAAATTAGATTAATCTAATTAACTGTTCTTAGTGTTAAAAATAATATATCTTACTTATTTAGACCTAGTTTAGTTAAAATTCCGGTTAGGTTAACTATATTAACCTTACTATTTCTAACTAATTTTCTAAAAATCTATAATAGAAGTATTATTTAATTTTTAAAAAAATATTAAAAATAAATAACTATATCTCTTATTTAAATTATCTTTATAAAAATATCTAGATTTTAGTATAGCTAATAGAATTCTTATTTTTCTATAAAAGCTGGTATTATCTAGAGATATAGCATAGAAATATATATTAATATATATTTTATTTCCTATTACCAGTATTAATAGTAGATTTTAAAAATAATCTCTATTATAGCTATTATATTAATTATTTAGAGTAATAGTATTCTTATCTATATCTCTATTATTAATAGAAATACTATATTTCTTATAAAATATTCTTTATTTCTAATATTCTTATAGTAATAGATACTAATAGTAGCTAGATTATTATAGGTTCTATCCTAATTACCACTAATCTTTATTAAATTTATTATATTTTAGTAGTAACACGACGCGTTCTCTTTATTAATCTACTAATATTATATTTTCTAAAAATTTCTCTTTTCTATCTTCTAGTATCTATGCTATTAATAAAGCTTTACTATTTATTATAGTATATTAATCCTACCTCTCTAATCTATGTTTATAGAATACTATTATACTATTCTTTTTAATCTTCTAAATCTTTATTAATAGCAATAATCAGATAGAGATTAATATCTATTCTATTTTCTTTCTATTTTCTAAGCTTAATTCTTTACATCTCTCTAAAAGCCGTAAAATTATTTAGTATCTAACTAAGTAAGAAAAGATTTATATCTTTAAAAAATAGTAGAATACTACTATTTAGATCTAGAAATAAAGAGAAGCTAAAAAACTATTAGTTTAATTCAATTCTAAAAGATACTTATTTATATAGAATAAATTCTATAAAAAATATATAATTTTTAAATAGAACTCTCTATATCTTTTATATTTTATATTTTTATCTATTTTAATATCCGTTAATAAAGTATACTAGGACTAGTTTAATAGTTTATTATATTCGAAAAAGCTGCTTTAAAAAGTTATTTTCTATATCTTCTAAATAAACAGTAGCTTAAATACTAAATAAAAAATCAATAAGATATCTGTCCTTCTTTTATTTATCTTATACTAAAAACTTTAATTTCTTAGGGCCCTATAACTATCTACACTAAACAAAAATTTCTTAACTAAATTCTGCGATTTATTATTATTTATTATTTACCTTTTTAAACTATTAAATATATCTAATTTAAATAAATAATTAATTTTATTATT